CTCTTATATTCCCCACGGCTTTACTTGTTGATTAAAAATTAACTAGAGATAGAGATGAATTGCTTTTATTGTATAATTGCTTTAGCTGCCCTTATGACCTTACAGTACATTTGAGTGTGTATCTCTAGATTGAATAGTGCATACATCATTCTCACTGATAAAACTGTTTACCTTGAATGCAATGCAAGTCGCTTTGGATAAAATGTTTAAAATGACTATGATAAGCATCAGTAATTCTACATGTCTTGCAGGCGGAAGGCCAACATTCAGTCAAGATAATTATATACTCACATACTACTTCCCCATCATTCTCTGCTCAGGAAGGAATGTACTTTTACTCTAGGTGATCAGTCCACAGTGCAGGAGAAGGGTTTGTTCAAAGGCAAACGGTCAGGAGGTCTTCAACAAGAGTCAGATCTTTAAGCATGGTGGCATTGTGCTGCGAGCCTTTCATATTGAACAATATTGCTGTTTTGTAAAGAGTTTTAGTTAACAGCATGGATTGCAATATAAATAAATTATGCAGTTATGTTGACCCTTATGAAAAACAAGTTTATTCAAGTGTGCTATTAGTATACTTCTTTTGAACTAAACATAGGAAAGTCTACTTTTAGTCTACTTTTTATGTACTTCTCAGAAATGGGCTTCATGTACTTCTCAGAAATATACTTAAAATGACATTTAAGTATACTTATACTTAGAAAAAGTCTAAATATATTTGAGATATACTTGTGCTCCTAGAATCCGTGTTTTCATTGTTATACTGTAAGGTGCTATTACACATCTTCTGTACAGAATTTCCAAAAAACACAAGTGAAGAAGAAACCGAAACAACAGATGCTTCCACATATGTATTCTAACACGATCATCAGACATAAAACAGCATCAAAACTGTGTAACGATATGGAATAAAATGTCGACCAATGAAGAGGTAATAATGACTGTCGAGCTTTGGGGTGTTGATCAACTTTAACTACGTTTTGATTATCATTCTGAATCCAATTCATAGTCTTTTTTCAGCTTTTTGTTCAAAATGTTGTTTATTTCTTTATTTTTTTTATTTATGAACCTTACCCACATTCAAGTTTTTAAAAAAAGAATGCATGAAGCTAGAATACATTTGTTTTTATTTACAAGCAGATACCCTGTTCTTTTGTTTTGTATGTTCAGATATTCATGTAACAAGATATATACAAATACCTAAATAGGGACATAGTAGTATACTTAAAGTATGATGTAAAGTTCACTTAAAGAAAACTTGCAAGTATACTTGCAGTATAAAACTACTAAACTAGTAGTAAAAGTATACTTTTATATACTAGAAAGTGGGCCAATTTAGTCCCAAGCAGTATTGAAATAGCACACTTACAAGTATACTACTAGTACACTGATATTTGTATACTTACTACATAAAGTATACTTAAAATATACTTGAACTTTACTTAAGCATACTTACTAAAATAAACTTGAAGTATGCTACTTTTTGGTAAGGGGAGGTTTATGTGTTGAGTTCAGAATCAATAGTTCCAAGTGTGTCTCTCACTAACATTATAATGCAACAGATTGGCATTAATTATAAACAAATCCAGATTGGCTAAATTACAAAGTACTTAAGATCAACATAAAGCAAAAAAAATCTCATATTATGTTACCTTACATGTTTATACAGTTAAAGAGAAAAATAAGATATTTTAGTTTTCTGAGGTGTTTCTTTGGCCATAAATTGATTGATTGGTTGGAATATATGAAATATATATAGTCTTGCATCAGATCGCAATATTTTCATTGACATTCAGTTTTCATTTTTCACAGTATGCTGTCTCTGATCATAAATGTTATGTACTGGATGAACAGGCTTCATAAAACATAGCTTCACGTTATTTGTTGTCCTGTCGTCGCACTACTAGATTATATACTGCAGTACAGCATCTAAGGACATCATGCCTCGACGTCTGACGGTTTTCAGTCATGTTGTCATGCATCTATCCATGAGTGATAGAGCTCATGTATTTATAGCTGGGATTATGTCATGAGATGATGAGTTGCAAAATGTCTTCAAATAATGAATAGTGAGAATTTTTTCCCAACTGAGCTTCACCTTACTTTCTAAGATGTATCGACCTGTCTTCCTGATGTAAAAGACGGTTTGTTGAGAGAATTCATCTATACTGCCTCGTGCAAATGTGTTATTAGTGTCTTTATCCACCTTACATGTCAATGGGAGCAAAAGCAGAAAGATAACATTCACTCCAGATCAGTATTTGAAGGAGTTTGAAAACCCTTACCAAAAAGTAGCATACTTCAAGTTTATTTTATTAAGTATACTTAAGTAAAGTTCAAGTATATTTTAAGTATACTTTATGTAGTAAGTATACAAATATCCGTGTACTAGTGGTATACTTGTAAGTGTACTATTTCAATACTCATTGGGACTAAATTGGCCCACTTTCTAGTATATAAAAGTATACTTTTAAGTATAACAGTAGTACACTTTGAGTACACAACTAGTTTACATCAATATGTTTAGCTTGTACTGCAACTATACTAAAAGTGAACTTATAGGTATACTGATAGTTTACTAATTAAATACTTGTAGCATTTTAGTACACTTTGAAGTATAGTCTCAGTAAA